GACAACAATGCTTGAGCTAGAGGTGGCAATTTTGTATCCAATCCACCAAGCATTCCAATCAACCAACTAAAATATTCAATTAATCTAATCCATTTAATCCAAATCCATTTGGATTTATGGATTGTTGAAACATTACAGTTTAGTACCTCTTTTTTATATTTTACAATTTAGTATCTAAATTTTATTTTTTTCAATAAAAATATCATTGAAAATTTATGTTTTGGTATAAAAAATTTAATTATAACATTTTAGTACCTAACTGTTCAAAAAAGTTCATATTGGTCCAATTCATAGATGCCTCTTGGATCCATGATCCAATTCACCAATTCATTTATTTCAATCCATAAATCCAATACATTTGTCACCTCTACATGGTGTCTTCTCAACTTATTTCCGTGCGTAAGAGCAACTTAGAAACGGTGCTACAACCGCCTAATTGACCATCCCTAACAAGTTTTTGGCTTTGCATACATGATATACATGCAATGTGAAGAACTTGGCGTTGCGGCATGTTTACATTGCATTACAAGCCTAGAAAATACTGAAAGAGAAGGTAGTATATAAATTGGCGGGTTAAGTATGATATTCAGGCAAGTGAGTTTATGAAGAACTTTAGAAGAATAAATTATTCAGAGAAATGGAGAGGGACGACGACTGCCTGGCTGGCTGTCTGGGTTAAGACTTTGAGATGCATTGACGAGCAAAATCGGAAGAAGAGAGGAGAGAAGGAAAGGAGAGTCCAAAATGGATTCCAATCCAAATAGCTAGCTGACAAAGCAGGGCACGGCTACAGAAAATTATACACCAAACAAACAAAACTTTTGATCAGAAGTTGGGTTTACGTCGTTTGTGGCAGCTTTTCAAACCAACATGTTCCGCCGCATAATACGTGGCTCTTTCCCCCATCGGTTTCTCTGCCATCCAAATTCATTTCCACCTCTAACTCCCTCCCAACCATAAATCGCCATCATACCATGGAACGGCAAGTTTTTTCTTACCACCCACTAACTGATCTTGCTAGAAACTATCGAGAATTAGTTGGTTTTAATAACTTGAGTAGGGCTGTCAATTTGGTTTGGTTTGGTTAACCAAATCATTAAGTATGAAAAATCAAAAACCAAAACCATTAAGGTCCTTATTGGTTTTCGGTTGCCAAAAACCAATAAGGGTTTTAATGGTTTTGGTTTTGGTTTGGATAATCAAAAAACTAACATGTACTCATACACTCATATTTATTCTCATTTCCCTCCTTTTTATTGAATAAACGTCATAATAATTGTAAATGGCCATTACAAATTATTGGTTGTCATGCGTGTCAAAAAGAAAAAAAATATTTGCTGATAAATAATTTTATTCTTATTGGTTTAAAACCGAAAAACGGAAACCATTAGCTTACCAATTGGTTTGGTTTCGATTAAAACCAAAACCAGATGAACAGCCCTAAACTCGAGTGGTTGGATGAAGTTTCAAACTCAAGCCGCTTAGATAGGCTTGGAATTTGCTCAGACACGGGTTCGAACACCATAAGAACACCATTGCTTAACATAAACAGATGAGATAATCATGATTCGAATAAAAGGCCTCTCAATCATAGAAAACTATAATACCATGTCAAGAGCCAATACGATAACTCGAATCATTGACACAACTGATTCTTGGACTAACCCAGTCGTAGAATCACCAAAGGAGAGAGTCTCTCAACTTTAAAGAGGTCAACTGTATAAACCGTGAAGAATTTCTGAACAGGGACGCAACAAGCTATGCCAGGCTGCTGCAATAATCCTGCCTCTCTCTCTCACCGCCCTGATTTTGTTTCTTCTTCATGCAAAAGAATACAAACCCACTCTTTTGGCTCTATTATTTAACACTACAGTAGTAGTAGTCCAATAATACCATCGAGATTGAAAGGAAGGGGAAAAAATCAAATATTAAGCCTGCTCTGCCCGTTAAACAACAAGGAGAACCCAACAAGATCACGGCATTTTAAAGCTCTCTGTTCCGTCCTTCTTCTACCTGCCAACCTCTTTTTCCACTACTGCATTTGCTATCGGTAACGACGGACGTAGTAGTGGCTTTTGTCTCTATCTACTCTGCCTTTTTGCTCTCTCGTGTCAATGAGTCAAAGACAGGACAAAAAGTTATTAACTGGAAGTAATAGCCCATTGGGTGATTAGGAAAAAGTTGTCTTTGTTTAGTAATTAGTTGGTGTTTTGTCTAAACTATGTATAATATGCTCATGTACAAAGGCACCAAAAGAGTTTCTTCAATCTTCCATCTTAACCTGCAATTCAACTCCCTTCCATCACTTTATGCAAAACCCACTTTCACTTACTCTAATAATATATGCACGTTAGCATGTAGTGTATGTATGTATATATATGCGTGTTTAATATATTAACTTGTGCTAACTCTGATGCTTGGTTTTTCTTTCTTCTTATCCAACTATACTTGGGCATGGATGGAAATGTTGACCAACCCGTTTGACCTTCTTCCGTAGTAGTAGTGTGGAATAAGGTATGAGTGTAATTTTTGCTCTATATTGTTTTGGACACGTTATAACTCGATTTATCTTAATATCTAATTACATTTACCTGTTTCATGCCTGTATGAGTATTACTCAACATGACTCGATTTAATATGACTCAATTTAATAAGAAGCATGTATGATTGTACGTATGTGTATCGAGGTACACGCGCCATTCTTAAATGTAGGCTTTGAATGTTTATTGTTTGTCATTTACAATGTTTTCCTTTGGACAAAATAGTTCACCCACTCTTTGACCCTTGTGTATAGTTTAGTGCTTGATGCTTAGTTATTGGTTTAGCTAGGCTGCCTCATATCCTTTTGACCAAATTATGATGGCAACTTTATGATTGAGGGAGATGATGGAAGAAGTGACATCATTTTCTTTGAAACGGGAGTTATATATGGTTGTTCTCATTATAAGATGTTACTTGAGATATTCAAATTTAGGACTTCCACATATAAAATTAGTGATAGTTAGTATTTAGTATCACTACAACAAAGACATTTTTCGCATGAAGTGACAGAATTTTGGTGGGAGATAGAATCAATTCGAATCTAGTACTTTGCCTCACTAAATCTAATGTTTCAATCATATTAATTGACTCCACCTAGTTTTATTTATTTTTACAATAATAAAGAAGGTAATTCATGTTCTTACTTAAAACTTTTATCTTTGTTTGGAAGTTGTGATTCTTCAAATTGATGTATTGAGTCAATTAGTGTATTGTCATTTGATGTATTGAATCAATTTGTGTATTAGACAAGTACCTTGTTTGGAGGTTTAGATTTTGTGTTTGTTGTAAGACCACAAAAGTTAATTTTGAGTGATTATAAAGAATCTCAACAAAAAACAGAGATTGATAATCACTCAATTTTGAGTGATTGTAGTGAGGTCTCCAAAAAGTTAATACTTAATACATGTATTCTAGTTCAATACAAGCCAAAAATATGACTTAATCTTACAAATACAGAAATTAACTCAATACACCATTTGAAATCACAGCTTCCAAACTTCTAAACGACTTATAATAAATGGAGTATGGACTGAAAGGAAAAAAATTGATTTATTTCATTTTATTATTCTCTTGCAAATCTTTCATTCCCCAAGAAAAAAGAAGTCAGTTAATTTATCACCACATGCATTTATTTCTATTTGATTTTTATTTTCGTTGAATTTCAAACCTAACGAACCAGGAGGGGATGGCCCCTGTCTGGCACAATATCATAAATCTCTGGAATTTATGTCTGTTTTATTTAATTATGACATTTTGTTTTGTACTGAATTAACTATTTACATATAGTATAACATATCAACTCATAGCTAGGGATATGAACAATTTACAAGACCAGATCTGCATTTTCTTCCATTTGGGTATTATATGGAGCTACTACTATGGTGCACATCGGCCGATTCGATTTAGAACAAAATCTAATCGATATAAGAACGAGCCAAAAACAAAAACAAAATGAGAACCAAAACTGAATAAAAATATATTCGATCCAGTTCGATTATGTTCAAATAACGATCTGATCCAACTCGATCTTGTGTGAACCAGATCGTTGCCCACCCCAGCTACTACTATTGTCGGTAGACGGGATAGAGACAATACTTGACAAGTTGACATAACATATTTATTTATTTATTTATTTATTTATTTTGTAATGTGGAACACCCTCCCCGATCACCACTTTAGTGATGCCAGAGTCGGGTCAAATCACGGGGCTGCCAACCCGATTGCACGGCCGAAGCCACTGGGCAATCTACCTCCGGAAACACCTAGAAGGTGGAATGGTGGCTTGAACTCGTGACCCCATCATCACAAGCCAAACCCCATCCCTACCACAAGCCATAATAGAATTTTTGAATAAGATATATTTGTAAGTTTCTTTCTCAGTTAACTTCCTAAAAGGAGTGAAGGACACTATGAAGCTAGCAAAACAGTAAGCAGCATTAGGGTAGCTAGATGTAGAAAGGTAGATAAGGCAGCAGAAGACATGGTATGATGCAACACCCTGCTTCTTCTGTCACATACTACTACACAATAGATAGATAGATCGATCAAAAGATATCATAAAAAAGCAAGATCTTCTCCTTACCAAATGAAGCAAAAGACCAAATCCCACAAGAAAGCAAATTTTACCCAATTCTTGCTTCACTCCCACTTACCCCCACTCTTTAAAGTCATCCCCATGTTTTTACCACTATTAACCATAATTCAATGCAGAAGAACCCAAGCAAGAAAGCAAGTAAAAGAAACCCTTCTCAATCTCTCTCTCTCTCTCATTTTTTTACTAGAAAAAAGAAAGCCTTTTTGGGTTTACCTTTGACTTATATTACCAATGTTCTCCATTGTCACTTCACACAAGCCATACCCAAGTAAGACACTTTTCAATGGATGGACTCATGGACATGAAAGGATGTAAAAGCCAGGCTAGCTAGCTAGCTGCCTACTGTTCTTTCTCTGTGAAAAGATCAATACCCAACATTTTCTTCAACTTTCTGTACATTAAACATGATCATTCACATATAATTATACTCATCATGATTACATAATGATGATGATGATTATGATAATGACCCAACAATGTGAAGAAGGAGATTAGCTTAACTGATTTAACAAAATTAACAACATATATTTGATCTCAACACCCCCCAAAAAGGGGAGAGCAGCTCTTAGGAAACTACCAAAATACCCTCGTTTTCCCCTCGACAAGATTACAAGCTACCACGGCGAGTTTCTCCCGGAAAATGATGAGAAAAACGTGGGTATTTTGGATAATATTGCACAAAAACGACCTAACAATCAGCCAAAACCCAAGAAACAGAGTACCGCAAAAGGGGAGGAAATTCAGCTAACTTTTTCTTTCCCGATTAGTTGTGGAGAGGATCAGGGCAGCTGGGCACTTTTCTCTTGCTCTCCTCAAACCCTGCTCCTCCGGCGGCGGCGGCGGCGGCTGAACCAGAAGAAGACGGTGGCGGCGGAGGATGCCCACTGAAATAACGACGGAAATGCTCTGTGTTGCTCACCCTATAATTACCCTTGCCGCTACTACTAATACTATCACGATCCGAAGAATGGCCGCCGGCGGAGTCATGAGATAATGCCTTCACATTCCTTGCCGCGGCGCCGTCGTGTGGGAGAATCCGGGCGGCGGCGGCGGCTCTGCTGCTGAAAACCCAAATCTGAAACAATAGCAGGATTGCCAAAACCATTGATCTCCTCCTCCTGTTGCTGGTGGGTCGAAACGACGACGGCATTTCTCTTCACTAACCCACATAAATGAAGCAAGCCACGATCCCCCCAGATTCCCCAACCTAGAGATTACTCTGCCAATTTCCCGTCCCGCGGGAACCAAACTCCGTGGCTCCCTGGAACTAATTTCTGCTGGTTAAGTAGCGGTTTGCTCAAAACCCTAAGCATTGAGTACCCATTCTGAGCTAGCGGTGATGCTGATGTGAAGCGATTGATGAGCTGTGTTGAGAAGTGGTGAGAAGGAAAGGAGAAATTGATGGGTACAGAGAGAGGGAGAAGGAGGAAGAAGAAGAAGGGAAGGGAGGAGATGTGAGAGTAGTACAGAGGAGGCAAGGTAGATGGGATGGGAGCTTTCATTCATTCATTCATTCATTAAACCTCTAGCCTCAGTCCTCTCCACCACAGTGGGCCACGTGATGAGAGAACAGGGAGAAATTTTACACTGCCAGAGGAGAAACCAAGACATTTATGATGTTTTTTTTTCAAATTTATTACACAAAATTTGCACAGAGAATAATACCACATAACGACTTGACTCTCAGAATGGTGTAAATATAATAGTGTACTAAATTTTGACTCAATTGCAGAGTTGGTCACACGACTTACGATTCAGTGACAAAGAACTTCAACTTTCTTAACAAATATATTGTGAAAAATTCGTAATAACTAGTATAACAATCTTTTCAGATATATTCATAAAGATTAATGTTTTATTGCTTTCATGTGGATGCCGGATTGCTTGCGTCTCAAATGATTTTTGCCTAAACATGTGTAGTTTGAAAATTTATTATAAAACTACTGTCTTTTGGTAAAAAAAATTTTATAGCAACGGGTGTAAGTTGGAGGAAAATCTAGCTCACTTTATGTAGAATTCATGAATTTGCAGAACTCATGTCTGTTGTAGGTAGGGTTGTTAATGAGATAAACTATTCACGAACGGTTCCGTCTCCAACTCGATAAAAGCTCGTTCAATTCAATAAAAGTTCGATTCGTTTATTAATGAGTCGAGCTTGAGCTCAACCTTGTTCGGCTCATGAGGCTCATGAACTAGCTCGATTAGGTGGCTTGTTGAGTTCGACTCATGAACTATCTCATTTTGAGCTCATGAGATGTCTCAACCTTGTAACTAGCGAGCCAACTTGATTACGGCTTATGAGAAAATCGATCCATATCTTATGAGTTGGTTTGTTAATGATGCATATATTTATTAAATTGTATATCACACCACATGTGATGTTTAATAATTTGAGTATGTGAGCAAGCATGTCTCGCATATGACATGAAGATCAGTTAATCACATGTATCATATATGATATATAAATATTATGATATTTAATTCACAAATTATTTTAGAGTTGAACTCGAGCCAAAATATTGATCTTAATGATGAGCCAAGATTCAATAAATGAGTTGGCTCGTGGTCGGCTCGACTCAGCTCGTTCATAAACGAGCTGAGCTCGAGTTCGGCTCGTTTATAAGTGACCTAAATCTAAACAAGGCAAAACTCGATTCAGCTCGACTCACTAACTGCTGTAAGTTGAGTTGTGAGAATTCATATAATTTTACAATTCATTGTTTGACTCACACTAATTCATTGCAGGACTCACATAATTTGGCATGAATATATCAAATAATTTGGGTAAACCAAAATATTGTATATATCATGGCGGCATAACTTTTGGAATTACATTTTGATCCAATGTCATTATATATGTCCAAAATAAAACGACATTTCATATATTATATATCTGAAAATCAGCGAATAAGTTACCTGAATGACAAACGATCCCTTAAGCTATAGCTAGAGCTAGGGGTGGGCAACGGGACGGGACGGGATACCCGTCCCGTTTTAAACGGGTACCCAGTCCCATTTGGAGACCAAAGTCCATCCCATATGCCAAACCCATATGGGAAACGGGTACGCATTACCCGTACGGGACGGATAACGGGTACCCATACTACCCATAAATATCCAAAGTTTAAATCACATTTTACCTAAAGACAATTAGTCAATTACATCCAAAGCATTCATTTCAAAACACAAAATGGTTGCACAAGTAGCAACTTACACCAATTCCTACAACCCAAAGAAGGGATGATGATAAAGATGAAAAGGAATCAAGGAAGGGGAAACAGTAAAAAAAGCTACACAGAACTCAGTCGTTGAACGTGCGTGTTGCGTCTGTAAGGGAATGGGGTTAGAAGTTACCGAATAACTGAATATGCCCTGTGAGGGAATGGGGTTAGAAGTTATCGAATTGTAATTGAATCATGTGATTGCGGCTGGTGCTGCTCCCCAGTTCTGAATGAATTCATATCCTTTTGTGTTGGAAAAGTAAAGACAAGTCTGATTTGCAACCGTGTTAACAGGTTTTACTTGCTCCAAGAGGACTAGGACATGTCCGGAACTACAGTCGCCTTGTTGTGCCAGGTAATATTTACTTTAAGCTTACCCCTTTTGTTGGTGGTTGTTTTTGGTGGATGCTGAATGTAAGGGTTTTTTTACTATTACAGGTTCTACAGTTAGTCTGACGCCCATATTACTTGCTCCAAGAGAAGATGAATTATATGTCTTTGTAATTTGAATGGGTACAACGGGTACCCATATTACCCAAATGGGTATTCGCGGGTAACCCGCGGGTACCCATATTAGGACTGTACAATTCCAAGTCCCATCCGTTTAAAATATTACGGGTAATATGAGTACCCATAACCCTTAAAAAACGGGACGGGTACGGGTATACCCAAATACCCGTTTCCCGTTGCCCACCCCTAGCTAGAGCCTAGAAGGTCGCAGTTTTCCCTCTGATGCATGGGCCAGATTGGACTTTAGGGATATGCATGTGGGCCAGGATGGTTACTTAGCCCGTACCTGGGCCAGATGGGCTCCAGATTGAGAAGAATTTGGATCTCGAAAGATAGCCCATAGACAAGCTAGAAACCGATCTAATTCGACATTTCATACTTCAGTTGGTGTTATCTTTTTTGCCCTGTGAACAAAAATCTGTTACTTGTATATGACGCTTCCAACTTAACCTTGGCTTAGAGCAATGAGAAACCAGAGTTGCTGTTCCTTAACACCCAACTCAAGTCTCTTGGAAAGCGGCTAAGGAACTGATTCTATCCCAACCCCTCAAGGAGAATCGACTATGAGTGTGCAACAAGCCAACATCATCAAAAACCAAAAGCATCACCCCCAATACACACATTACAAAAAAACACCTCGTTTCTGACTCTTACAGGAATCTGTGAGCTTATCCGGAAACCAGATGGAGTTTCGCTCCCATATTCGCCACTCAAATTCACATATAACTCGACTTTCTCCGTTGCTTACTACAACTCTACAAGTCCCCTGTCCTCCTACCGCAGTGCTTGTGCTTCCACAGACCACAATACATAATATAACATATCTCTATATAGATGTGCGTGATTCACGAAACGAAATGCCTATTCTAGAGTACTACCACCGTCATAGCTCGATTACTAAGCGTACCCCGCCATCCCAACAGTTGAACTCGAATGATTCACCTTGTTAGAAGAAGCATGACCCGGGGCAGTCGTAGCCTTGGAGAAATAGATGTAATAGTAGATGTTGAGGATCATTGTTGCAACTACGAACACAGCTCCAGCTATGAAAACGCCCTTCCTCAGCGATTCGCACGAGAAGTTTTGAGCTAAGATCATGCCACGGTACTTGGTGTGATATGCATTCTGCTTCGCACCAGCAACTAGACATGCTTCTGCAACCAGAAAAGTCAACCTGCAGGATGGAACTACTAGTCAAAAAAATTGCGCTGTTAAGTTTTACTTTAAGACAGGTTCTAAAGCAACTGTTGAGTTATCTCACCATGAAGAGACAAAATAAATGATGGACCAAGCTCGATCACCACCGGGGGTTAGTGGTCTACCGAAACACATGCAACTTGTCACGACCATCAGTATTGTTTCACTTGACAGGAGGAATAAAAAAGCACCTACTCCATAGCCAGTTGCAACATCAGACTTGTAGACACAGTATGTTGCGTTAGTTGCTTGACTTGCATCTATCTCAATATGCCCCTGGCATACACGCGTAGGGAAACAAAATTAGATTGCAATGAAGAATCAAACATGCCTAACAGAAGCAGCATGGACAACAAGTGAAATTAATTAAGATTTAAGAGTAACTATGGGATAGGAACCCAAGAACTGTTTACTTCGCTTCTAACAGAAGCAGATGAACAATAAAAGGTGTTTGCTTGTTATCCTACATATATCAACTCCAGTAACGTCATTTGGAAATCACTGCTAACTGGAACAAGGTCATGAGAAAATTCCCTATGTGATTACAAATGTTATGGCTAATCTTAAACGACCCAATAGATTCTACTGCACCCTAATCCTAAGCCCTTGTAATTTGGCCATCAAGTACTAGTACAATGGCTGACAGACAGACATCACATCGAACATCGGCCAAAAGGTTATAAATACGACTATCATAGAGTTGCTGCAGGGGGGTAGATAGCATTACAGTTTATTGTAAAAATCAAACCCTATCAGCTACTATTCCAACTTCTAAGCTAGACTGTTTAGTATGTTGACTATCCCACAGAGAAGCCATTTGTGCAAATTATCAAGCAACAGAGCAAATAAAGCTGCAGGAGAAAGTAGGGTAAGCATTGTTGTGCTCAAGGAATATACCTTTGCCATTCTTAATTCTTCAACCATTTAGAAGGCACAAAAATGGACCCGTAAAGTAATCACACAAATGATTAACCATCACAAGATTCATTTGTTATAAGTTCGCTCTCATCGTTAGACATTATCACACTAAAAACAGAAAGTAATCAAATCTAAGTTTACTCTCATCATTCTTGCGTTCTGCTAATATAATAGTTCACCAAAGCTCTGCCATCTGAAGTAGGAACTTGAATCAAATGCTTGTGCTCATTAAACTTCCTAACAAACAGACCAAATTAGTTCGCCGAAATGGCCAAATTTGAACTTCAATTGGCCCGGCATAATTCAACACTCAATATGATACACAAAATAAAACAATGCGACGCTTATTAAACTAATTAGATGCTGATTCCATTCCTCAATTCCTACAAACAAAGCTCCAAGAGGCCGTCACTGCAGCATAGTACTGTTACGGGCTAGCCTCTAACGTCAAAGCTAAAAACCAAACTCAAAGACTTCACCAGACTAAAAGCTATCCAATTACTCTCTCGTACAGCTGAGCACATCCACTTATAACCCTTTTTGTGCAATCGCAGGATCCACACACACATCCAAACAGATCCAAGTTCATAACTTTGCTCATAAACAAGCAGATCTTCATCTTTAATAAAAACTCTTATCATCCCAAACCTCTCCACTACCTAATTCACGGAAACAGACTCTCTAAACCGACATAATTACCGTTAAATTATAGAAGAGACGAAAGCAAACTACAAAGAAGAAGAAACAACAAGTGAACCACAATCTCAGAATCCCCATATCCAGTTAGAGGAAATAGGCTAAAATGAGAGCAACAGGAGAAGTAAGGAAGGAGCAGAAAACATACAACACTTCTTCGTCTCTCAGCAGCAACGGCGAAGCCGAAAGCAACGAGGCTGAGAACCACCACCAGAAGGTGAACCAAAGTGGAGCTCCTGCCTTGTTGGCTCATCTCCTTTGCCCTCCTCGAATCTAAGCTTTCTTCTTTACCCCTGTTTTTAGAGAGATGGGAGAAGGGTTTCTTGAGGTTTCGTTTGGTTAACCAGACTGCTTGTGGTTTGTGGTTTGTGAGTGAGATCGAGTAGAAGAAAGTAGTGAAAAAAGGAGAGTGGAAAAGTATGGAGTATGGACTGGGTAGTGAAGGTCTTGTGCGCGGTGAGTGGAAATGTAAAAAAATAATTTTTTAAACAAATATGTTCTTTTTAAGCAAAGACTCTTGTTTTCCTCCTGCTTTTTTATTATTTTTGTTTTTCCTTAGGTCCGGTCCGACTTGTTATTAATGAAGTGCATAACTATTTTTGCTTATTAACTATTTTTGTTATTAATGAAGATTTCAAAATTATAAAACAAACACAAACTAGGATGAAAAAATGCATAATTTTTTGGAATGAATTTGAGAATATAAGTCAACAGGGAAGAAAATAAGAACTGCTTAATGAGATGCTAACTCAATCTCTCCTTTTTACATGACATGCCAATCTATGAGGTGGTTGGAAGAAAAAGATTTGGGTTATGGATTTGTTGTAATCATAGATTCATCATAAGTTATGTTTTTTCCGTCGTTTATGTATTATACATTTTAGTGTTGATAATTTTAAATCTCACAGATTTAGAAATACCACATTTCTCATAATAGGCTTTACATCTTGATTTGTGAGATTTTTTATTATCATATTTTTTATCCATCATGTTTTTTTATCCTACTCGAAAGCGCAAAATGTTGTTTAAATAGGGAAAGTCTCTTTAATGTTCTTTTTGTTGATGAGAAGAATACGATAACGGAAATGCTCAACACCGATTTACGTGGTATCCCTGGATGAACCAGGACTAATCCACGGAGGAGCGTGAAGACTCCTCTGCTACTGATTTTACTGATCGTGATTGTGTTAACTTACAATGACAGCCGACTACAGAATATAACCCCTAGCCTAGCAGAACCCTAGCTCCCTTAGGTTTCTACGTAGAAAACACCTAAAGTGTATGGGCTGCACAGGCCTTGAATGCTATTGGGCTATATCTCTACGTACACCTACTACTACAATACACACGGGGCAAATATACAATCAACAGCCTCCCCCAAATTGATGCGTGCTGAACAACATCAATTTGCTAGACAGAAACCAATGTCGACTTGAAGAAAACGACTTCGTGAATAAATCGGCAACTTGATCCTCTGTGTGTATGTAATGTAGTGTGACTGTACCATCGCGCACCATATCCCGAACATAGTGCACATGTATCTCAATGTGCTTGGTTCGATCATGAAGCACTGGATTCGCTGCAATGCGTATAGCACTAGTATTATCAACCATCAGTTCCATGGGTATCGGACAGGAGACTCCAAAATCAGCAAGTAACCGCCGCATCCATACCAACTCAGACGTGACATCAGACATAGCTCTGTATTCTGCTTCAGTAGATGACTTGGAGACCTTATCTTGCTTCTTACAGCGCCAGGAAACGAAAGAATCGCCAAATTGAACACACCAACCAGTAGTAGAACGTCGTGTATCAACACATCCTGCGTAATCTGAATCAGAAAAAGCTCGCAGTCTAGTTATACCACTCGAAGAGAACAGTATCCCGACGTCTTTAGTGCCTTGAAGATATCTTAATATCCTATGAACAGCCGCCAGGTGATCCACACAAGGATTAGACATAAACTGACTCACCAACTGTACTGCATAAGAAATATCAGGTCGGGTGGCCGCTAAGTAGATTAAACTGCCCACTATGCTGCGATACTGCGAACCATCCTTAAGCAGTTCACCAGACTCCCTACTGAGTTTCAGATTAAGTTCCATAGGAGTAGATACCGGGTTGCAGTTCTCAAAGTTGTGATCATGTAACAAATCAATAATATACTTCCTTTGACATAGAAGTATCCCTTTAGCACTGCGGGAGACTTCCAATCCAAGGAAATAAGACAACTCACCTAGATCTTTAATACTAAATGCAGCTTGAAGACCTTCTTTCAGTCGACGAATACCCACAGAATCAGAACCAGTAATAATCATGTCATCGACGTATAGTAGAAGAACAACAATACCTCGAGAAGAAGTTTGTGTGAAGAGAGACGGATCATTCAGACTCTGATTAAAACCCAGTTCCACCAGCTTTGACTGAAATTTCTCAAACCAAGCTCTCGGTGCCTGTTTGAGACCATATAACGAGCGATGCAGTAAACAGACTTGTCCTGGAGTTCCAACACGATACCCAGGCGGACGTTCCATATATATGACTTCATCCAAATCGCCATGCAGGAATGCATTTTTGACATCGAGTTGAAGAAGTGGCCAATCCTTCTGTGCTGCAACAGCAAGCAAAGCTCGGACAGTCGACATCTTCGCAACAGGAGCAAATGTCTCATGATAGTCTACCCCCTGCTCCTGTGTGTACCCAAGGGCCACAATCCGTGCCCGATGTCTCTCGATCGTACCATCGGGATTGACCTTAATTGTGTAGACCCATCTGCTGCCAACAGTAGGGGTGTCAGGAGAAGGACGATCAACGACAGTCCAAGTATTGTTGGCGTGCATAGCATCGGTCTCACAATCCATAGCCGCCTCCCATACTGGATTTCCTTGGGCTTGCTTGTAGGAATTTGGAATATGAAGAGCATCAACAGCGTGAGTGACAAAATCATTATACCTTGGCGGTGGTATGCCCTGTGTGAGGCGCAAAGAACGGCGGAGCTGGAGGTGATTATCGATGGGCTGGGGCGACGTAGAAGCTGGGGTGGATGAAGCAGTGGAAGACGAAGTGGAACCAGGTGAGTTTCCTGAGCTGGCAGTGATAGTAGGCGACTGTGGGGAAGGCTCGACATCATCAGGAGGAAGTAATGGAGGGTCATCGACCGGCTCATCAAAAGAGAAACTGGGCAAAGAATCAGAACCGGGAAAAACAGACTCGGACTTCGACGGACGCTCAAAGTAAGGTAAATGTTCAAAGAAAACAACAGAGGCCGCAATCCTAATACGCTGGGTGGTAGAATCATAACACATGTAACCCTTATGAACATCACTATACCCTAAGAAGGCACAACGGACTGTTTTGGAAGTTAATTTGGTTCGTTCTCGTTTAGGAAGAAGAACGAAACATAAACAGCCAAATACACGGAGACGGGAATAATCAGGATGATAGGAGTAAAGAGCATAGTACGGACTAATGTTACCAAGAACAGTCGTGATTTGATAATTTATCAGTTTCACTGCAGTGGCTACAGCTTCAGGCCAAAAACGACCTGGAACAGAAGATGAAAGCAGGAGAGCTCTGGTAAGTTCCAAAACATGACGGTTTTTACGTTCCACTAGGCCGTTTTGTTGGGAAACTCCGGGACACGATTTTTGACATAGAATACCTCGATCCCGATAAACATCATGGAGAGGAAAGGAACTAAATTCTCCTCCCGGATCAGAACGAATTACTTTCACAGTACGACCAAATTGTGTCTGAATCATGTTTAAAAATTCAATAGCAACTGCACGAAGTTCAGACTTGAGACGCAGAAAGTAGATCCAGGTAAAACGAGTAGCATGGTCAATAAATAATGCAAAATATCGAAAACCATGTCTACTAAGAATAGGAGAAGGCCCCCAGAGATCTGTATGAACAAGATGGAAAGGATCGTTTATAACAGTGACACTGGAAGGAAAAGAAATGCTGACAGTTTTAGCTTCAACACAGCTTTTACAAGAATGAAATCCGGAAATCCCAACATTGTTTTTACCCAGCAACGATTTTTGAAACATAAGAGAAAGACGACTAGTATGAGGATGACCTAGCCGGGAATGCCAGAGATCCCATACATTATTAGAAACACTGGAAAACACAGAATAAGGACTACTGACGGACCTATGGCAATGACTACTGACATTGGACGAAACTGACGAAATAGGCTGCCCATGTAACTCCTCTAAATGAAATAACCGGCCTCGCTTACTCCCCCTTCCGATCGGCCTCCCCGTCTTCGAATCCTGTACAACACACCCAGACGGAGCAAACACCACAGAATAACCTTGCTCAGTAAGCTGTCCGACTGAAACTAAATTTGGAACAAGTTTTGGAACATGCAAGGTATTGTGCAATGAAATTGAATCTGTAATGACATTTCCCACACCACTTACGACCAACTTATCTCCATTGGCTACTGTTAACTCCATACCTTTAATTGGCTTCACATTTTTTAACGCATCAGTTTTGCAGGTCATGTGGTTATAACATGCACTATCGAGGAGCCATGGTAACGACGTACCTGAACCTTGAAGAGTGGCGAAGGCCGCGCTAATTGCAGTCGGGAGAGAGCGCTGTAATGCGGCATTAACTAGCTGCTCTACCGCATCCGCAGAGAGTCCAGAGTTGTTGCCGACCTCATTGTGTTGTCCACGATGCTCATGTCGAACTGCCTGCCCCCAAGAATTGTTATTTTCTGTCAAGTAAGCTCCATAAGCTGGACGATCACCATAGCCGCGGTCGCCGTAGTGTGGTCTTTGTACGGCAGCACCTGGACGATCACCTGGTCGCCCCGATCGCCCACCACCAGCAGCTGGAGGGGCTGCCCATTTGGCTTCATTACGTTCCCGAGACCTGCATTCAAGGACAATATGTCCCATCCTCTTACAATAAACACAGAAGTTACGTCGTTTGCAATGTTTTTGCAAATGACCCTTTTCCCGGCAGTGATGGCACTCCAATTCAGTTGTCGGGATTCTTCTTTGAAATTGTGGGCGATCGACGGCTAAAGCTAGATGACCCGATCCTCCGTCGCGGGTTGCGGAGGCAGCAGCAACAAAGGTCTCTCCCTCTCCTGGGCGTTGATCAATCAAGGCTTGTGTCCGCATTCGCGTTTCCTCACGAACAAGAGTTGGTAAGACACCATCAAATTTCAGTTCCTCTTTATTTAGAAGTGCTGATCTTACTCCCTCAAAGTCGGGCCTCAAACGCATGAGGAATTCAAGAATTCTTGTTCGCTGCCGTTCCTCTATCGTCTCTTCAGTCAAGGCGTGAGGCCTTAGTGCAGCTTGAATGAGATCTTGTTCAGTCCATAATTCTTGGGCAAGATTAAAATATTCTGTCACCGATTTATCTCCTTGCTCCAGACGAGCAAGAGCCATCTGTACCTCAAACTGACGGGCTGGATTAACAGTAGAATATAGAGCAGTCAGATGTCTCCACATCCTATTGGCAGTCGGAAATAGACGTAAACTCAGACAGGTAGATGCATCGACGCAGCCCAGCAACCAAAATCTCAAGCGTGCGTCGTTTTGATTCCACTGGGCCCGTTCTTGTGCGTTAGCCGCGCCGGCATCCGGCTGCGGGGTCGTTCCATCCAGAATTCCAAGTAATCCCCGGCCTTCCACGAAGACACGGAATTGGAACTCCCATAGTGCAAAATTCGTTGAAGTGAGACGTACCGATGGTCTCTCCGATTCGCTTTGTGCAGGCTCTGATACCATGTTGATGAGAAGAATACGATAACGGAAATGCTCAACACCGATTTACGTGGTATCCCTGGATGAACCAGGACTAATCCACGGAGGAGCGTGAAGACTCCTCTGCTACTGATTTTACTGATCGTGATTGTGTTAACTTACAATGACAGCCGACTACAGAATATAACCCCTAGCCTAGCAGAACCCTAGCTCCCTTAGGTTTTCTACGTAGAAAACACCTAAAGTGTATGGGCTGCACAGGCCTTGAATGCTATTGGGCTATATCTCTACGTACACCTACTACTACAATACACACGGGGCAAATATACAATCAACACTTTTAGGCAACATCTCGAGACGGGAATTTCGAAATTCGAAGAAGGTTACAAAACCACATTATGAGTTGTCTTGATTGATTAGTTTAATGACCACTTTCCCCGAAAACTATCAATTGTGATGTACAAGTTGTCGTTTATGCTCCAAAGCTCGACAGTTGTCATAATTCCAAGTACTTTTTGAGTCGAAAACTTGTTGATAGTAATAATCAAACACATTTCTGTATATTCTTGTTTATCATCTTTATATCATTCTAATTTTATCGAATGTCTCCAAAAGACTTCTTATCTATCATCTAACTCACAGGATAACATGAACATGCATCTTCAACCTGTGGAGACTGGAGACTTTGTCTCGCAATTCCTTCACCCGCACGGAGGTCCTTTCCGTCCTTGTGCCGTAGAAGGGAACGAAAACAGAGTAATAGCCGCCGGAGAGAATCATTAATTGGCCACAAAGACATGTAACCCTGTGCCGTAACTCGCACTGAACTAGAGAATCACTCCATCACAAATCGTTATCACGCAGCCTAACTTCAGGCCCATAATTAGTGGGCGGAAAAAGCCAATAAAATATTGGGCCCTCCAGCCCGAACCACCCTGAACGGCTTCAGTTTTGAGCCCCTTCTCTATATAAACATTGTGCTCTGTCATTTGTTGCTTCCAACAAGAAAACCAAAAAAACCCCTCCAAGGCTCCAACGAGCGCGACGAAGGCGGGCGACCCAACTCCTCCCTTTCTCTCTAATCGCATAGGCACAGCCGGCAACCCACCGGTGAAGAAAGACAACAGCAGTCGACGACTACCGCCTGATTCCGGCGACGGCTGGAACAAAGGTAAGAAAAGCGAACCGTTTTTTTACTCGTCCTTGGTCTCGTCTTTCTCAAAAACCACGATTGAAATTCCTTTGACGTACCGTGTATGGAAATTTAATTGTTCTGTTAATAAAGAACGCCGCCTCCGCCGTCGTACTCCTTCATTTCCCGATTATTCGAACCGTCGTGCCGAGTGCCGACAACGGTAAGTGGGCCTGAATGGGCGAATCTGGGCTTTTTTCCCCCGGTTGTCAAATTTGAAAAATAGAAGAGCTTTCGCTTTTGGGCCTGGACTAGATAAATATAATAAACAAATGGTCCACGTCAGAAAGTTCGTATGTTTGTTTCATTTACATGTGAAGGGAACATGGGAATGACGTCGCGTTTCTATTGATCACATTGTATGAAAGTTGAGGTGTCGATTTGTGAATGAAAGTTTGTTCCTTTTTTCCGACCGCTTTCCATGTCTACATCTAAGCTAAACTTGAAGCTTGGTTCTTTCTCTCCCAGTAAACACAAGAGTGGAAGCCACTTAAAACACCCAATCATGGCGTCGTCTGATCCTAACCCAGACCAGAAGCAACTTAGTGGTAAGCAAGGTCTATTCCTTCATTGAATTGACACACATCTATATAATTGCGTGTTGATGAGGAAATAAGGGTTGATTGAGGTTTATGTATATATATGTGTGTGGTTGAGGGGAGGTTTCTAATTCAATGGGACTCTATCTATATATGTATTTGTCATGTCAGGTGGTGGGAAATTTGTGCCAAACGAGCATAACGTGCTGCAGAAGCATGTCATGTTCTTCGACAGGAACCACGATGGAATCATATATCCTTGGGAGACCTTCCAAGGTACGTAAAAGCTTTAATTATATAACTAATGAACGACCCTCTAGATTCCTTGATTAGCCTTACAAGTAATCTCAACTTAGCTCTTACCTTTACCTAGCTAGATTCTGTTGTTCCTTCATTTTCACGAAATGGTCCATACACTGTAACACTCAAACAGGTTTTCGGGCAATTGGGTGTGGGTTCTTGCTATCTTCAGCAGCAGCTATCTTCATCAACCTTGGCCTCAGCAGCAAGACTCGCCCTGTATGTACATTGTGATCTCTCTGTCTCTAGCTTTTACTTTCGGTGTAGTTGTTTAGAAGAAGAATCATTAGGTAATTGAGTGCGTATAATAAAGCTGTTTGTCCCTTTCTTTCTGCCATGAAGCGGTACGTGATGCTTGTAAGCTATGGACAGATAGATAGACAGTTATGATTGTATTGTTCTTAACCCTTTAGAGCTGGTTTCAGACTTTCAGTACAGTACTGAATACTTTTGGCTTCTTTTGAAAAACGAGAGAATCCCAGCTCAGAAGTGGCACATGATTGAATGTGATCATTACTTTTTTTTTTTTTATTGTCAAATCAAATCCTTAAAGTGTGACACATGTATCTGGGAGAATGATTAGATCTAATTATTTTAATTAGTAGTTGATGACTGATGCTGGTTGGATATATGCAGGGGAGATTTCCGTCTCTGTTGCTCCCTATTGAGATAAGGAACATCCAAAGGAGTAAACATGGGAGTGACTCTGGTGCCTATGACTCTGAAGGAAGGTAAAATTATATGTACGGTGAAAGAAATTGACAGCATATATTGGATCCATTTTGTGTGTTTATACATGGTAAATCTTTGTACTCCATGATTGAAGGTTCGTGCCTGCAAAGTTTGAAGAGATATTTGCTAAGCATGCTCGGTCACATCCGAATGCCTTGACATCGGATGAACTCGGGGAGATGTTGAAGCATAACCGAGAACCGAAAGACTATGCTGGATGGTGAGTTCATTCCTTCGCTAAAAAACGCTCGACGGATTATATGCATGCATTGTCTGCTTGCAGTAGTAATCATGGTATGTAATTTGAATGGCATATATATGATGCAGGTTGGCTAGTTATTCGGAATGGAAGATTCTGTTCCTGCTAGCCAAGGACAAAGATGGGTTGCTGCACAAAGACACAGCTCGAGCTGTTTACGATGGGAGCCTATTTGAACATATGGAGAGGGAGAGGCAATCGTCCAAAAACAGGACCTAACAGACCTCTGTTTCATCAGCTGCGGATCTGAACTTAAAATTCTTTGATTGGTCAAGTACTGTTGCTACGAATTTGTGGTGGTACGTTCATTATTGAACTGTGTACCAGGCAGCAATGGTGGTGGTAAATAACTGGGAAGTGAGTGTGTGGCCGTGGGGGATATTCCCCATGTGTGTGTATCCTAATTGTTCTGTGTTTATGTGTAATTCCGTCTGTAAAAGTGGTGGTGTTAACTGTTAATGATATCAATGGTGGTGTCTGGTGTGTTCCAAAGGGCAAAGGTGGAAGGCTAGTTTTAGAATTGAATGCCACTCTAAGTCTCTAACGTGCTGTTGGGCACCAATAAACCGTTGACCTAGATACTATAACTCAAGGCCCAATCTAGTAGTAGTCAGGTCCAAACGGTAAGAGGCAGCCAAGCTCCCCCAGGGCCCAAGAAGCCCAAGGTGTAGCTAGGACAATACAAGTCGACGGTTTAGTTAGACCTATGATATTTTCTCTAGAGACATTTTATTCGTGGTGTTACTGCAACAGCTTAGACAAATTACAAAGCAAGGAAGGGGATATATAGATGTATAATACATAAGGAATATCCAAACTTAGTCCAGTATTCCAAACTTAGTTGTCTACGCGTATTTTGGAGTGAAATTGAAGAGTTCTGTTTAGATTTCTGAAGTTAAATATGTTTAGGTGAGAGCAAAGTAAGAATTGATTACCTTATGGAAAGTTATCATGATATTCTCAAAAGCAAATTGTGCTGTAGCAGGACTAAAGCGGGCAAATATCTTATCCAGAAAAGACTTTAGATGTTACACTTAATTTTTCATATGAGTTTTCTTAACAAGACCGAATAAAAATAATTCAGTTTGGGGTTGGCCGTTGGCGTGCACGTTGAATACTTGTCAGAGTAGCTTCTCGACTTACCGATTGTATTTTAACAAATTAGGGTGAAAATCCAAACTTATTCAATGCATTAGGCTTAGGATAGGGTCAGTAACCATTGGTTACTGATCTATAACTATGAGTAACTAAATCTGGACCTTTAGATCTAAGTGGGTCCAGAAAATTCAGATCTAAGGGTTGTCAATTAAAGACATTTTATTTTCCCTAGTTTTCTTAATCGGCTCTTATCTTCTTCGTTCTAACTCGGATTTCAATTTTTTTTGAATAGATGGAACGAGTTCGTTGTGTTCTACAAAATGAGATCAATTTTCAATATATTTAAAGAAACTTTTTTTACCAACTACATACCATATGGTAAATTCTTCGTTTTTAAGTCGTTTTTAAAAACGTTTGCTCAGAAAGAACGAGTTCATCATGATCTATTGGATCTATAAATTTCTGGATGAAAAAAATATTGGATAAAAAATTACCATACTTTACCACTATGGTATGTGGGTGGTAACTTGTAGTAAACAATGATGAAAGTCGTAAATGACAGTTAGTATACTCCTACTATCATGTATTCAACCTTCTTACCATATTGGTATGTTCATACCATCATGGTATGCTTTCTTACCATATGGTATTAAATAGGAGCATACCATATGGTAATGACCAGCACAAAATTATTCAATATTTTTTGTACTAAAAATATATCTAAATGGATATCATTTTAAAGAGCACATTTAATCTAATTTATCTGTGCAAAAAAAAAATCGACTTAAAACGAGAGAGAAATCGTCCGTTAAAGATTAAAGGGGAATAGATAAAAAGACTTTCTAGAAGAGAGAGTATACTGATGCCATACTGATGTGAACAGATTAATCATGATTACTGACCACAAGGTTACTAACTTGATCCGTTACCAATGCATTACAGAACTACTATTTTTTAAATGTCTAATTTTCAAAAAGAAAAAAAAACCCAATAAAAAATGGCAAGGATACCAATATTTAAGTTTCTTCACAGATTTGACTAACCATATGTCACAACTACACAATCCCTCAAATCAAATCCGCGAGGAACCATACAAATCAAGCAAAACACAATCTAAGCGCCACCAAAATCAATCGGCTCATCCCAGCCAATTGGACCAGCTGTTACCACTAACTCAACTCTGCCAACTGCTCTTCAGCACACAGCAACTTGTAGGGAACACAATCCCTTTTACCGTTGGGGAATGATTCTCTAATAAAAGAGAAGGACCAGCTCCCCCAGCTTTTGCCATTGCAAAATTCCAAAACTTCCCCTGCCAACGATTTTTTTTTTCTTTTTCTTACAAGCCCCTGCCAAAGATTTGACATGAACAAGATCAGCACAAATATTTACAGAAGGATAACGATTGGTAATTTGTCTTTATTGCCATTAATTGCTCTAATGTTAAATCTGAGTTCATAATTAGCTTCAACATATCATATCTCACACTCAGTTTTAGTCCCATCAACATATAGTTTTTGCTCTCCAGAACCAAGTTCTTCACTTAACTTAGGTATTCGTATTACTGATAATCTTGGTACGATTCTCTCACACACAAATTACTATACGATACCCAGAGAACGAATGCCAGATGACATTCTTATGGAAGTGACATCAGATTCCCCTGCTTTTTTTTTCTTCTTCTCCAACCAAATACCAGGTAACAAGACAACTTAAGATGGTACAGCAGAACAGTCTTATGTATCCATGTCGACAGTTGTAGAAGGGTAGCCTAGCTGTAGTGGGGTTCCAGCCAATTTTGGTCTTTTACACTTTTTAACAAGAACAACAACAATTGGCATGAAACCCCACCACCTGCCGCCATCACAGCCGGCTAAACCTTTTTATTCAGATAACCCTTTTGAGCTAGCTGTAAGTAACGTCTAAACATATTAGGCAGCAGGCTGAGAAAATTGACAGGTGAGATGATCGGAGATCGTGAGTCGGCTGGTAAACCATGAAAACGCTAATTAAGAAGTGAAAATGGAGAGGGGTTACAGAGTTATTACTAATTATTATGATTTATGAACAACTACTATTTGATGCTCTTCAAATTCCAGATATCGTCAATATCCCAAACCACACCACCACCACCAGTTTCATCCTCCGCATCAGCAGCAACCATGTAGTTGTCCACGTCGAAGCTGGGGAGCCAGATGGAGCTCCACCACATTTGCTCGTAATTAAGCACCCCGCCTTGATGATGATCAGCTTCACCTCCATTGCACATGTAGTACTCCCTCTCCACCGCCGCAGCCGCCGCCGCAGCAGCACAAATACCCAATGTAGCTGTAGCTGTAGCTGTAGCTGTATTAATACTACTACCGGTGGCCACTCCTCCGTCTTTGTTATGATGGTCAGGATCTGGTCCGACCACCTTGCTTCTCATCATCTTCCTCGTCGATTTCCCTGTCGCAGTCGCAGCAGCAGCATGATCAGCAGAAGTAGTAGTCTTCTCCCCATGACTCCTCTGCCT